CAGTACAAAAGACCATACCAAAATGGCCAAATCGATAGCCTATTTATACCAAAACGGCTGAAAAACCGTAACTTTCGGGGCCGCACATACCAATATAGCCCATATAAGGGGGTAAACCCCCGGGAGTAAATGACTAAAGGTCAAATCCATCCGAGTCCGAAGTAGCGAGGTACTCGAAATAACAGAGTTCGAATTAGTGGGGTCCAACTGTACTTCCATCAGTTTTATATTCCGTATATTGTAAATAATCTTACAGGCAGGCTTTAACATCAAAAAGAGATGAGGAGTCTATAAAAAAGCAGAGATGCTTGAGGTAACAGACCCCCTTCAACGGTCATCACTTAACTTTCTTTAGGTTAAAATGCTTGCCTCAAAGTCAATCATGTCATTTATATTTTGTTTTAGAAAGCCTTCCAGAAAGGTTTTTCCTTTTATACGAAGGAATAGGTTATTTATTTTTTCTTTTTCAGGGACCTGCCATTTTTCGTTTTGACCATTCGTCCAAGGACATTTTTGCTTTGGAATTTTTCGTTTGAGAGCGAACGCAAAGGGTTTCAGCATCTGCGAATTGTGTCATACGCGGGATGCAAACGATACCAAATAACATGTGCCGTAATGATTTGATTTAGCGCCTGAAGCGCTTATTTACTTTTGCTACCTCAAAGGAGGGCGCTTATTCCTTTTTTGACAAGCAACCAAATGTTAAAAAGAAAAAAAAATTGGTAAGGTATTTATTAAAAAAGGAACAATAACAGAAACTGTAACAGTAACAAATATACTGTGAATGTTGAGTTATAGTGAGGGAAATCGAAGAGGGGATGTAGGGACGCTTATCGGAGGGAGGGCGCTAAATCGAATCGTTACGTTAATACGAGCTCCAAGATGAACAGTTGCCTCAAAAATTCCCGCGGCGACTTCGAGATAACCTGCGATGACGTGTTTTTTGTTTTCCTTCCCCCTGATCAAAGGTTTGCTTCGAGGTTATGATACCTTACTAGTTTTATACGATACCTTACTGGTTTCTGAAACATCTCTGTACGTTTTTCTAAAAAGAAAACTCGGCCGCTTTTTGAAATTTTGATTACCATTTATTTTTGCAAACTTTATGCAAAAAGATGGCCTTACGTTTTGTCCAATAAGAGAAAAAGAAAAAGGAAGAAAGATTTTTCCGCCTTTAAAGGTACTGGAACGATCCTTACTGAACAAACAGCCGTCACTGTTTTCCATTTCATCATAGATTTTTATAATACTGTATCCGTTCCACGTCATTTGTAATTCACTAGTGGCGTGTTCCAGTCGCCTTGTAATATTTTCACTGATTGATACCCTTATCTCTCTAATTCCAATTAGCTATTTTTCAACAATGACCGGTCATTTTGACTTTGTGTTTAAGGAAATCTCATGCAGGGAAACCTCGTGATTAGCGAAACGTCATCCTTTTCGAAAAGTGGCTCCGTTTTCAAACTGTTTTCCCTCTACATTTCCCGACATAGTCATCGAACAACCGACCTCACTCAATCGAACCCAATCCGTAAGTGGATTGCGTTCGGCAGTCAAACGAAATCGAGTAACACCGAACTTTTTGTGAGTTCGATTTCCGAACCAGTGGAACAAATCAAACCTAATCGTACTCAGGCAACTGAACTAAATCAATTTTATTTGTGCGAGTTCGATTGAGTTTGATTGAGTTCGATTGAAATTCAGTTCGATTGGGCTTGATTACTGTGCCTATGGCGGAAGACTAAAACCTTAGGCGGGTGTTTTCAAGTCCTCCGGTTTGAAGGGCGTTTTCGAAAAGCTCCGTTTTCGTGACAGATAAGTATGGAGGGTAGGCCTAACCATAGAAATAAAGCTGCGTTTTCAAATTTCTCCGGCGTAATGTGGACGGAACATAAGCCTAGTTTTCGGTATGACATAACCACAAGTACACGGTGCAAAACAACAGCGCAATCACAAGCAGAAGCAGCACAAAACGTTTTTTGTTCTTCTTGTGCTTGTGCTTACGTTTATGTCAAGTGAGAACGCGGTGCTGTAAGCATAAGGATAAGCATAAACATCACCCGCCTTATTGTTTTACTGCCTCGAGCTAAAGATGGTAGGGATCCGAACATAAGGTAAATATCCATCCTGTGCATGCCGACGTGCTTATGCTTGTGGGCGGCCTCGCTACTTATGCTTATGCATGTGCTTATGTCTAGTGAAAACCAGACATAAATGTGTATGGTTTTTTGGTTGGAAGGAGATCACACACAAGATTTCACTAAACACTGTTAAAACTGGTGTGGATATTGATGAAAGACTGCCTGCTATCAACCTTGAGGATCACCTAGGTTAGCACGTCTTTCCAAAAAGAGGAGAGGAGCAGAGGGGAAAAGACATGACAACATAGTGAAGCGTGAGCAATTACATTTGGTTAGTCATGCAACGAGCACGATAAATAAAATACACGGAACACTTTATGAAAAAATGACCTCTACACAGATGGCTCAAAATTCTCAACTGTAGCTCTGTGATCCGTACGTTTAGGTTCTCTGTATTGGAAAGAAGTCACAAACGAGGCTAATTATAATTTATCATTAAGATTGCATATGCATGACGCTGGAAATCATTCATAAAGCAAGCACCCCTGTAGGATGCTACAACTGTTCATCGATCTTTTGAGCGAGGGAGAAGGGAGGGAAATGTTTGCTGTACCTTGCCATGGCAACCGCTCTCGAAAATACTCATTGGCCAACTTTTCTACTTTTTAGAGATCACTCTCCTTTTATTTTTTGTTTAAGTTGTCGCTATCGTTTCTTCGTTAACATGTTCATACATAGTGATAAAAGAGTTTACCAATCCTTACATTTTGTCATCAAGTTTCCTTTCGTTAGCCTGGGCACAGTGATTCTGTTACAACATATTTATCAAGAACAGAAATCAACATTGTTCAGTGGCTGTTTATCAATCTTTGATAAGATACAAATTTGCCAATTCAAGTTTTCTACATTTTAGATATAATTATTGGTTGTGATACCTTTATCTTTAATGTTGTCGCTATCGTGTTTTCGCTAACATGTCTATACACAGTGACAACAGACTTCATAAATCTCCACATTTTGCAATTTAGTCCTGCCGTTAGCATGGGCACAGTGACATTAGTGCAAAATATTTATCATGAGCAGAAATCTGATATTTTGACGATACGAATCTTGTTTAAATCACTCTTCCAAGTTTCATGGTTACTTTTTATGGTACAAACTGAATTTGATATTTGCTCTATTTTGCCCTCTCTAATTTGGCCTGGTGAAGTTGCATCCTCTCCAAGGACTGAGGTTCCAATAGCTAGTTCATGGACGCTTGGTTTCTCAACTAGAATCACGTGTGCTCTATTCATTATTATGCTCGCTGTTTTCCCGGGATGAACGACTTCCAGAAGGTTATACTCCACATCGATGTATTCTCCTACAAATCTATGCTGATATCCATCGTTTTCCTTGACAAGAACAGCAGAGCCTCGCATGATACAACCTACAAACAGTAAGACGTGCAATGAGCCTAGTTGATCCGAGCGTGTCAGTGTCAAGGCTTGACGTATTAGAAAAAAAAGTTTAATAGTTTGTAAGGAAGGATTGCTTACTTAGGGGGAGGAGTTATGTATGTAACAGTGTGTACCCTCAAAATATCTCAAATGTGAAAGCGAGTAGTCTTCCGATGTTGAAACTTCCACCACGTCCCCTAATTGCTTCCCCGCACTTCCATCAAAGTTGGTAAAGCGATCGTAGGATAAAGAAGGCCTTAGGGGCATATATACAAGTCTTTGTTTTCGTCAATAGATTATACTCTTACCTCTGGGAATTCTGCAGCCATAGACTTCAGCTCTTAGACAAATCGATTCCTTTATATATTTGAACACTCGGATTCGTACAGACTGAGTAATAAATGGATGTTTTGCTTTTATTTGTTCCTCTTCTTCATTATAAGGCGGCTGTCAGATAAAACCAAATACAAATATTAGAAGTGAAAATTCTGTTGAAATTTCTTTGTAATGTCTTTAAAATAAATTGATTTTACGAATATGAACAATTTGCAGCATTCGATTACAACTATCGTTTGGCTCAATTTCTCTCCACTACTCCCTGTCTCCCCTTTTTCCTTCCTCTTCTCGCTCTGTTGACGAATACGATACGCCAGGTCCTATACTGTAATAAAGTTGATGTGTTATATGCTATCCTCATTTATCGTGTTTATTTAACTATTATACAGAGCATGAGTTTGCGTTTAAGACTAGTGACTAAGCAACGATGTTTAGACGTGTAAAAGTTCGAAAAGTCGAGAATGTTTAGTCGTGCTTTCTTTATTCGCTTTTTTCTCGTTTATATTTATGTCGTTCTCATTTACGAATTATATAGTTTCTGTTTTCTACAAATGACAAAGCAAGTTTCACCCGTTCATAGTGGAAATTCAACCACTCTTTGAAAATTTGGCCTTTCAACCATATAGTTTTGATTTTGTATTCGGTTTTGAGTTGAATTCTTGCTCCAGTGATCTTATATCTTTTTGGTAAGTCAATCTGAATAAAATCAGCCTCTCCCTCCTCTGAGCACCAATAGTTGTATCCACCAAGTCGGCCATGATGAGCTGGATGTTGAACTCTATGACTGGAAGCTTTGATGGATGCGTCTGCGATCTTTCTACTTTCCATTCCAAGAGGAAGCCCTGAGCCACAATCTTAAATATTGAAACAACACTAACATGAGCTTCTAAAACTCTAGCAGCAAAACATTCTACATCTGGAAAGAATAATAGCAGAATCAAAGCGAAATTAATCACACAGGCGCACGTAACCCTAAGAGATCACTCAGAGGTCACATGATTGTGCACAGGCGAGAAACTGATTAATTTGCTGGGATAGGCTAAAGAAAGAGCTTATATCGAATAATCCAATTGTAGAGCTCCGCAAGGACAAAGTTAAAGGAAAAACATACATAAACATACAAAAAGCAATGGACGGGAAAACGTAAAGAAAGATGTGCAGATGGATCACTGAATGCAAGTGCACGAATTCTGATAATTATCAATGAACTGGCTGACAAACGGTTTAAATACTTTTAAAAGCGCAGATTCTTTCCTCGGATTTGGGAACAGTTTTCTTTCGCGTGAAATTAGACGAAAAATGTCTGTCTTGCAATGCTAACTCTAACTTAGAATTCTAACTCAAACACCAAATCAAAATTGTATGAGGTACACTATTGAGCAGGGAGTAATGGAGCACTGGAATCTGAACACCTTTTATGACCAGGTACTTAACCCTTTGAGTCCCAATTACGCATATACGCATAATTAATGGTCGTGCTCTTTGTACCACTTGTGAAGTCATCAATTTAAATGTCATCAGATATTGTTTATAAGCAGATTGTAGAACTAGGCTAGGCCTTTCCGTACAATGGTCAGGTTTAGATATCGACGACATTCTGACGTCGCAAGTCGAAAAAAAACGTTATCAGTTTTGGTGCAAAAACGGTGGTAAAATGGTCCACTATGCCTCTTATTGATCAAGGTCAATTTCTAGGCGTCGCCCGTAATAAACATCCAACTTTTCACGGCAGCCAGAAAGAACATGCAACACAAAAGGTAGCCAAAGTAAAAGGGCCGAAACATGTTCATATATTGGAGGGAAAAGAAAAGTATATTAAGTTATCATTGGTTAATAAGTTACCTCGGCATGTTGGCAATGCTTGGTCCCACTGCCCATTGTTGCATTTTGCCTGAGAGGAACCTTGTAACAAGCGGTCTCCTAAACATTTAAACTCGACAGCTGAGTTATGATTAAAAAGTCTTCCAATGGTTTGTCCATTTTCTGGATGACCGGGATCAGGGCAGGATGCTGTGAAACATGAAAATGAATCAGAGTACGAAAAGATTATTACGTTTATAGAAAAGAGCATCAGAATAAAACATTCACAATTTGAAATACGGTTGTCATGGGTATATCAAGTTCCTTGAACAAACACATGCCATCCCAAATAGCATACAGGCAAATTTCAGATTAATACGCAAAGGTGTTTAATTAAATATCGACAGAATTGTAAATGGTTAAATTCAGCAAAGGGCAGTCCACCCTTGGACTGATTTCCGGGATGAGAGGGGTTAAGAGTCCCTGTCCATAAAAATGGAAAATAACTCGGCAAGGGTCGAAAATTCGATTTCGCTCATATTTTCATGGTAGATAGGCTAGGGCATGACANCTTGTAACAAACGATCTCCTAAACATTCAAACTCGACAACTGAGGTATGATTAAAAACTCTTCCAATGGTTTGTCCATTTTCTGGATGACCGAGATCAGGGCAGGATGCTGTGAAACATGAAAATGAATCAGAGTATGAAAAGATTACTACGTTTATATAAAAGAGCACCAGAATAAACATTCACAATTTGAAATAGGATTGTCATGGTTATATCAAGTTCCTTGTATAAAATCATGCCATCCCAAATAGTATACAGACACATTTTCGACTAAATCGCAAAGTTTTTAAATCAAAATTGACAAAGTTGTAAATGGTTAAATTCAGGAAAGGACAGTCCACCCTTAGACTGATTTCCGGGATGAGAGGGGTTAAAACAAATTGCACAGTTGAGATTGTATTTATTACAAAAGGTTTACCTAAGCACTTCGGTATTTCTCTATTCCACTTCTTGCTTTTGAGACAAGTTAGTTTGCCGCTTCCCACCATGGTGTAGTTTTCACTGCACTTAAATCGCACGAATCCTCCGACAGTAAAGTTCTTTTTGACTTTCGATTTTCGTCCATGTAAAGGACTTCCTGGATCTTTACATGAAATAACTGAAAAGTAATTAATATAATTTTATAACATTGGTATGAAGGCATAATAGGTAGGCATAATTTAACTTGGTTGCATTTGTAATGACATAAATAGCAGTAAAATAATTTGCAACGAAGAAACAAAAAGTTAGATAAACCATAGTTAACTGAGAGAAATGGTTAGGAAACTTGGGAAAGTTTTTTTGTTGTATGTTTTTGCTTGCTATTTTGGGGGTTAACCCTGCACAAAACTTGGCAAAATACAAAAGGTGGTTACGTGTGCTCATACAACTAACCAATAGAAACATTGCGATTACGTAATTCATGCATAGTCAATTAGCATGAGACAAAAAATGTGCAGGGTCAAGGCCCTTCCAACATGAATCTTAGCCTGTTTGTATGCTTCTGTGATATTTACCGGCCTTCCTAACCATTAGCCTCTATTAACTATGGATAAACATGGTATCATTTTTAATAAAAACATGATTGAATAACGAAAGGCATAAGGTGTTGTGAACCAGACCATGCTTGATTCTTCAGTTGAAGAACCTCCAAACACAGTATACTTGATTGTAAGGAAAAGGCGTGTAAAAAAATAGAAGCCTGGCTTAAAATGCAGCAAAATGCTTATGAAGGTGATAATCTAGGCTTTAAATAGCGAGGCGTATTTTTATCGTATTTCTTCTTTTTAATAGGATGTGCCTGTGAGAATTATAGCTAGATTGTAGTTGCACTCTGGCCTCAAATGCAAACTAGGTTCATGCATCGACCTAAAGTGTGTTAAATAGCTGTTTATTGCTCCAACACAATTAGCAGAACCATTTGCATTCTAGATGTACATACCTTTGCACGTGGGTGTTTTGCTTGTCCAGTCTCCATTGTTACAGCTGATGGTTGCGTCTCCTTCAAGTTCATAATCCTCGTTGCATCTAAAGGTTACCGATTTAGCGTGTCTAAAGTCATCTCCGCTTCTGTTTCCATTGCCTGGCACTCCGGGATCAGGACATGGAGCTAAAATTGCATTATATATTTAACATCAATACTTGGTCTTTTTAAGTGTTTTCGGTAAAAAAAACAAGCAATAAGTTTAAAGACGTCGGAGCGCAAGTTGTGCAGACCCCACCATCAAAACCGTTGTCTCTTTGAATTAAACTTGAGATTACTATATTTGTGCTAGCGAAGAGCTAAAGCTCAATCCAATCGCGTTTAATTGACCATATGCTAGGTATTGAAAATATAAATTCTATGGTTAAAGTTTCCTAAAAATAAGTTTCGCTATCAGGCTACAGCTTCGACAAATAGTACGGAAGGTACGAATGTATTATGAGTGTTAAAAGTGTTATAAGTCTTGTCACTTGCTCTGGTAACTTTTAACCAGATAACCATTTTAGTTGTTTGCATTACTTCTAACCCTGGTTAGTCATCCATTTGTACTTATCTTCATGTCTTTTTGCGTGCCGGCAAAGAAGCTTTACGGCGGGTGATTCCTTCAGCCCCATTAATGAACCCAAAGCAATCTAAGGTCCGTTTTGACTTACCCCAGCATTTTGGTGTTGGCGAACTCCAATCTTTCGTTTCTTCGCAAACGATCTCGCTTTTTCCTGACAGCGTGTAGTTATCTTTACAAGTAAATTTCACTGAACCACCATAGTTGTAACCATTTTTCACGTCAGCTTGTTGACCGTTTAGAGGAGTACCTGGATCACCACAACTTACGACTGTGAAGAGATAAGTTGGTAACATGGAGAGACTTGTACAAAAAGTCACTGACATGGCCTGTTGTCACAGAAATTGACACCTTCGATATTCATTCGCTTTCATGCATAGGTACAATTTCGTGCACGTATTACGTTGGGTTGTAAATCACCGAAACTCGTAGCGTAATCATGACATTGGTACTGAGCACCAACGAGGGGCACCTTTAAGCTCCTTTACTCACGTACAATAAAAGTTGGCAATAAACGTTGACAGTTACTTGTGATAATACATTTGGTGGCTAGTCTGACGCATCGCTTTGATTCGCCCCGGCCAAGGGACTCTTCAGAGAAATTTCTGCTCGGCATACTCGCAATGCTCAACAAGTTTCCAAGCAGAAAGGTCCTTGGCTGGGGCGAAACGAAAGCGCTGCGTCAGACTAGCCACGAACAATGTATTATCTCAATAAAAGTTAACATGTATAATGTCTTATGGTAAATGCAGATATTGACTGAAGAAAATAAAACTTGTTAATATATAAATATATTCCTACTTACTGTTACAAGATGTTGGAGATCCACTCCACAACCCATTATTGCCACAAGTCCGGATCTCTGAGCCACTGATCTCGTAACCTGTCTCCTTACACTTAAACCTGACGACACCATCGACTTTCGTGTGGGTTTCGAGAATTTTTTCAGCCTTATCAGGGGTTGGTAGCACTCCACAGTCAATTTCTTGGGGGGAAAAAGTAAGAGACAGAATTAAACGTATAAATTTTATATTACAGAATTAGTTACTTGTAAACAGGAGTTATTCGTTCAACTAGCTTAAAATTACTATAATTTTGTGTAAAAATCTCTTTCAAGATACAACAAAAAACAAAATAAGATTGATTTTCTTGTAACTTTCAAAATAACAACATCAGCAGCAGCAGCGACAACAAAATACCGTAGAAATGTTTTTTGCAACTATAGGCAAAATGAAATAAATTCAAAACACACACGCAAAAAAATGAGGTTAGACTAGCCACGCTGACAACTCTATCACTTTGACCTTGAACGCTGTAAAGTAACATCGTCAATGTATTTACGTTCACAGGTTGGCGACCTCCCAGTCCACCTCTGGTTCGCTTGGCATTGCCGGTACTTGTCTCCGACCAGTTTGTAACCATGATTACAATCAAAATCGACTCTGCTTTTGAAGGTAAAGATGTAAGACTTCAGCTTTCCGTTTTCAGGGATCCCAGGGTTTCCACAACTTTTTGCTGAGAAAGAAAATATAACAGTGTTCATCGTTGTTATTTTAGAGATATCTCTGGGGACACCGTTATTCCCTGGCACGAGGTATGTGGAAGAACATTTATTTAGAGAGTTTATTTAACAATCGATATAAACAGCCTTAAACAATATTGAAGACATGTCTAACATAAAAGTAATAAGTCTAGCTGGAATTGTAAGTATGAATTTCATTAATTTCGCTCCCTTGTATCACAACGTTCTACTACTACATTCAAATCATGACAAAGAAATTTGCGCTTTATAAATTTCAGGGTTCTAGGCAACTGCTTGTGATTGGTTCTTTACTCGAGCGCAACGTGTCAATCCAGTGGCAGCCATTGAAACAGGGACACTACATGCTTCTCAGACAGGTCGTCCTACGTCTCCAGAGCTTGAATTGTCAGAATCCCTCGGTTTGAAGGAGTTCTACATGAGATAAGTTTGTTTTGTTTCATATCACTGAAACCCTGTTCTAAACCACAAAGAATTATAACTAAACACGTTTGACAAAATTAGTTTTAGACATACGTGAGCAAGTAAAAGAAGGGCCAGTCCATCCTTCCAAGCTACAACTCAGCAGTCCTATCCCTGTGGAGAAGTACCCACTCTTGCACCTGAGGAATACTTTTTCCGAGTACTTGTATGAAGATTTCTTAGATCCTCGTAGCTCAGAATTTTTCGGAAGTTCCGGAGGGCCACAAGATGGTACTGATTGAAAAGATCAAAAATTGAACGTTGTTTAAGCACCATTCTAGGAAAAGTCAGCAAATTTGGAGCTGGCTGTTTTAACGATTTTAAAGTTAAAAAGGGTCAAAGATACCCCCAGTTTAGTAAAGATCCCGAAAGATCAGACTCGTGGCGCAACTTATTCCATTCCCTGTCAAGGAAATAAGAGCTACATCGGGGAAATGAAACGAAAATTTTCCACCCGGCTCAGGGAACATCAAAAAGCGGTTGTAAACAAACACTCGCATAAGTCAGCTTTAGCGGAACATTGTTTACACTCTGGCCACATACACCATCTCCTAGGAATCTTCAAAGATTTTACGTACAAGCACAAATTGGCGCAGCAGACGTATTTTAGAAGCATGGGAAATTAACACTTGTAGGAATCCGCTGAACCGCGGTGATGGCATGCATTTGCCGCACGAATTCTTAAATTTAGCCCTAAGGGACAGGACATAATTAGCTCCGATTTGCTGATTTGCATAGTATAAGAACGTGCCTTCTTACAAATTCCTTGTCACTTTCCCATGATGAAGGCTGAAGTTTTAGCCGAAAAGTTGGGACTTTTACAAAATTTTTACTAACATTTTTACATTTTTTTAAACCAGAGTAACGTTTTTCAATCATGGACCCCAAATTAAATTCATCCATGAAAGTAGGTTTTGTTACCCGATTTTTTTAACTGTCAAAGTAAACACACTTTTATATGGGTTTCGTAGTCATAATGGTTTTTAGTTACAAACTGAAGATGTGTGTTACCATCTTGGGTAACTCGCTTCCAAATCTGACAGCCAAATCCTTAGAATTATGTGTTCAAAGCTGAGCAAGCACAATCACAATAGCTGCTAAGCTTTTTAAAGTACTCACATACGCATTTTGGCTTGGCTCGATTCCATTCTCCCGAATTAGTGCAAGTAAGATATCTTGAGCCCTCCATCTTGTAACCTGGGAAACAGTTGTATTCCGCTCTATCTCCTACTGCTACATAATCCTCATCGAGATTTCGACGGAATATCTGCTTATTTCCATTGGTAACACCTCCTGGATCCTGGCAGATGATTTCTATTAAAGAAAAATAACATACTTGGTTGTTAAACTGCCAGAGAAGCATAATTCGAACGATTCTGCAATGAAGGAACTGCGACTTAAAATTGGCTTTGGGTTTCTTCCTAGCTGAGTTTCGTCGATCGTAGCTGTCTTAGCCTTGCAACGTTTACCTCTTCATACCAGGCGAAGGCGAGATTTTTTTTCAATTACATATATAATATAAACCATGACCAGTGTAAGACAAAGTTAGAGCCAGAAGATCGATACTTACTGCAGGATGGTTCTGTTCCGTCCCACCTCCTTATTCCACGACAAGTCCGTTTCTTGGACCCAAGCAATGAGTAAGGTTTGTCGCATTGGTAACTGACAGTGGACCCAAACGTGGTGGAGGAATATTGTCGTCTGCCATTGTCTATTTCTGTTGGTTTTCCACAGTCTATGGCTATAATTTCAATAAAAATATAACTAAGTTTTGTTTGGAATGAACTAGGCACTTTTAAAAGCTAATTATAAGAATGTGTCTGTAGGGAAGTGGTTAGAAAACCAGACTGGTATTGGGTTGTGAGTTCGACCTCCGTCGGGAAGTCAGATTTTTTCTTCTACCCATCACCAAACTTAAAATTCACCATCGTTCATTATTTATCTGCACGCAGGACGTTGTGCAAGCTGCTGATCCCAGCACTTTGCAGGATGCTTGTAACATTTGAACCCAGTGGATTTATGTAGGTCGTAGTAGCTCCGTAGTTAGACCGTCCGATCAGCATCCGGGACGTCATAGGTGGGAATTATGACGGGAACTTTGTCTCTCTCCGGATCCCGTGCTCGCGAAAGGCTGAAAATTCCCCCTACACGCGCAACGCACGAATTCAGAAATACAAACCTTTCGGAAGACAGCTGTAACCACAGTCCCCATCACAAACGCATTCCTTGTCTTTACTACAACTGCCTGAATCTGGATTACATGACTTTCTGCAGTACCGGAAAGCTTGTTTATTAGTTCTCTTGCATGTGCAGCTTGGCTTTACTTTGTCCCAAACTCCGGTTCTTGTGCATGTTAAGGTGTTGCTCCCTTCCATTGTGAAACCTGGGAAGCAACTGTATTTTACCTTTTTTCCAGATTCGAAGCCATCGTGAGATTTTTTTCCGTGTTGGATGTTGCCTGGGTCTGTACAGATCAGCTCTAAAAGACAAAAAAAAAAAATACCCATTTTTTGGCAGCGGAAATTTTTACCTTTGTTTGATGTTTGAAAGAACCATTGAAAGAACGAAGGAATGAAATGAAAGTTTAAAATGTGAATGTAATTACTACTTTAACAAAAATTATACTTAACTGTAATAAATTTCGCACACTATATACTTACTGCAGGTTGGCTTTTCCCCATCCCATTGACCGTTTCCTCTGCAAGTTCTCTTCTTGGAGCCAAAAGCTATATATGGAGAGGTGCACCGATATCTTGCAACCGAGCCAAGCGTGTCGTTTTTGTAACGGACCCGCCCGTTGTCTATAGTTAGTCTTGGGCAATGTAGATCTGGAATAGTCGAAAACGACGTCCTTTTTTTCAATATCTCAATATACAATCGGTTTTAGTTATTACTGTAAAAATACTAGTAAAAGAATGCTTTTGGCCAGAAAACCAATACAGAACACGGGTCTGACGATAGCATCCTGCTACACAGTCCATATGCTCTACCACAGCTGATCAACCACACCTATAAAATCTACAACTGGTTGCAAGGTTAGATTTTTACTATTTTGTATGCCTTCACATAAACATGTTTAAACAACGCAAGCTGTATTAGGGGAAAGTAAATGAATTAACATTCATTGGTGAAGAGGAACGGACAATAGACGAAGGCCTATTTCACGAAACCCAATCATTAATTTAAGTCTAAGTGTTTGGGATACATAACTGACTTTATGTAGCTAAGGTATATTTTAATATGTAAATAGTGTCCCCAAATAGCCGTTTTAAGCTATATACCGTTGACACTGAAATAAAGTCGTTCATTCATTCATTCATTCAATTAAAGACACCTAATATAACCGTTTCGATAACGAAGACTTGTAAAACTGGAAGTTAAAACCAAAGGAAAGCAAGACGCTGTCTATAATTATTTTTACTATTCGTCTGAATGCGTAGGACTTTGGATAATAGAAATACATGAATGATCACTTCTTCACTTGTACATGTTCACTTGGACTTTTAAAATATTTGCAAAATCGCGAACAAATGCCAAAACATTGCATATCTATCTGGAAATTGAACACCTTTATGCCAAAAAGCCTAAAGGTCAAGGTTAGAAATCGAGCCCAAAAGTAAAGGCAGATATTCCAAGGGCGTTATGGTATACCTCACCCAATAAGCTATTGTGAACTTGCCTTATTATCAGTGTATGAATTTCAGGTCAGTCTCGGCAACCAGGTGGGATTTGTTAAATAAGTTTTTCAGGTCTAGTTGCAATATTTTTTCTCGATTTATAGTGTACCAAATTAGCACAGGAGTACTGAAAAGCATGACACGAAAAACAGTTTAGTTACATCTCTCTCCACTTTTTTTCTTTTTTTTTTTTTTAAGCAAATGTCATTACACGTTCCCGCAGTCTAAAAACGGTATAACACTACAGCTTGTACAATAGTAGTACTTCATTTATACCAGAAGGCAAAGGTGGCAATGTAGAAATCAAGTAGGTATGTTGAAAACAAAGCGCAAGAATGATAATTCCAAATGAACCTGTTTTCATTGGTCTTGCAACGTATCTGAACATAAAGAACCCCCGCTGGGACTTCCATGTAAAAAGGAGGGGTGCAGGTCGGAAATTTTGAAAGGAAGCCCTAAGAGGCACCAAAATCCTGTTTTGTAAGCGTGGCATTAAATCTTTTTCAACCCCCCGGGTTCAACTCTAAGAGGTACTAATTCAAAAGAACACATTATCTCCTATTATATGTTTCTCTTTTCGTCTCAATACTCTAAAAGGTACCCAAAAGCTCCATCTTTTGAGGATGAAGACCCTAAGAGGTTCCAAAACCGAGTTCATATATTTATTTTATATGGGAGTCCACCTCCCCCAGGGATGAGACCATATGGCGTGACACCAGTGTGAACGACACAGATCAAATTTTTAATAGAAGAGCCAGAAGCCGAGAGGTTTATCGCGATAAGGTAAAAAAAAAGAAAAAAACAAAAAAAAGAAGCTGTGAAAACCGTGGTGAGAGGATTTTGAGCGATTAAGTCAAAAGGCCAGAGTCATCAGAGTTTCAGTCTTACCAGACACGCTGAAAGGAAATGACGCCATACATGGCGCTAACGCAGCTGAAGCGAATATTTCTTCGTCCATAGACGCTGTTGAGCAGAATTGCGTTCATCCTTTCCATTTGGTGAATTCTAGAACAAGGCAGTCAGTGTTTTGACTGGTGTTTTGTAGACAGGTAACCATAACGGCATAACAAAAAGAGATGACTGTGCTAAATCTCAAATTGTGTAAAATCTGTTGCACACGTAGGAAGGAATTTCTTACCTCGTTTGACGCAACTGTAGCCGCAATCCCCATCACACACACAGTCTCTGTTACCTTTGCAGTCATCCTGAGCGGGATCACAGGGTTTCGAGCAAACTTTGGGCTGGCGATTTGTACGAGTGCAGTTCTGACATCGAATGCCTAACAACAAATGTCAATGCAGCAAGTTACATTACGAGGGCTCATGATTGCAACATAGTAATTTAAGCGTCCGATTATGTTAAACTTAAGATCATGAATTCGTAACCCAGTTACCTTGAACAGCGAAAAAGGCAAGAATAACCACTGCGTATTTCATTGTTTTAAAAACGCAACTCGTTACGACTGTGTGAAACTCACACAGGAAGTTTTATACCCGAGACGTCGTGGGTGCTACTGGCAAAGCATCAAGTTTCCCCCTGGCAATACGTCACATGATTGATGGCGTTCTTGTTGTTGTGAGACGGCGCTGAATCATTAATGTACTTGAGACGATGATCATCGTCTCTTGTTACTGTGCTATTTTGATGTATTAATTTTTTCTTCTGCATGCTTTTCATCTAAAAACGTGGGAGCTTTCGGTTTTACTTTGTCGGCTTAGCACTGAGTGAGAGAGAAAATGTTTACAACCGTGATCGCATAGAGCTTATTATTGGTCTTTAGCCACGCAGAGGATCCTGAGCAATCCAACCTTTCTAAGCTAAAGCTATTCACCAGTACCCAGTGAGTAAGCTCTCTAACAAGTCACGGGTGGAGGGTACAAAACTGTCTTTTTCCTCTCTCCCTATCTCTGTCAGACCATTTCACTACAGCTGGATGAAGGGAACAAGAGGGAGGGTGGGTCGTCGAGCGTTTGTGCATCAAGCGTGAGAATGTNATAAGATTGATTTTCTTGTAACTTTCAAAATAACAACATCAGCAGCAGCAGCGACAACAAAATACCGTAGAAATGTTTTTTGCAACTATAGGCAAAATGAAATAAATTCAAAACACACACGCAAAAAAATGAGGTTAGACTAGCCACGCTGACAACTCTATCACTTTGACCTTGAACGCTGTAAAGTAACATCGTCAATGTATTTACGTTCACAGGTTGGCGACCTCCCAGTCCAACTCTGGTTCGCTTGGCATTGCCGGTACTTGTCTCCGACCAGTTTGTAACCATGATTACAATCAAAATCGACTCTGCTTTTGAAGGTAAAGATGTAAGACTTCAGCTTTCCGTTTTCAGGGATCCCAGGGTTTCCACAACTTTTTGCTGAGAAAGAAAATATAACAGTGTTCATCGTTGTTATTTTAGAGATATCTCTGGGGACACCGTTATTCCCTGGCACGAGGTATGTGGAAGAACATTTATTTAGAGAGTTTATTTAACAATCGATATAAACAGCCTTAAACAATATTGAAGACATGTCTAACATAAAAGTAATAAGTCTAGCTGGAATTGTAAGTATGAATTTCATTAATTTCGCTCCCTTGTATCACAACGTTCTACTACTACATTCAAATCATGACAAAGAAATTTGCGCTTTATAAATTTCAGGGTTCTAGGCAACTGCTTGTGATTGGTTCTTTACTCGAGCGCAACGTGTCAATCCAGTGGCAGCCATTGAAACAGGGACACTACATGCTTCTCAGACAGGTCGTCCTACGTCTCCAGAGCTTGAATTGTCAGAATCCCTCGGTTTGAAGGAGTTCTACATGAGATAAGTTTGTTTTGTTTCATATCACTGAAACCCTGTTCTAAACCACAAAGAATTATAACTTAACACGTTTGACAAAATTAGTTTTAGACATACGTGAGCAAGTAAAAGAAGGGCCAGTCCATCCTTCCAAGCTACAACTCAGCAGTCCTATCCCTGTGGAGAAGTACCCACTCTTGCACCTGAGGAATACTTTTTCCGAGTACTTGTATGAAGATTTCTTAGATCCTCGTAGCTCAGAATTTTTCGGAAGTTCCGGAGGGCCACAAGATGGTACTGATTGAAAAGATCAAAAATTGAACGTTGTTTAAGCACCATTCTAGGAAAAGTCAGCAAATTTGGAGCTGGCTGTTTTAACGATTTTAAAGTTAAAAAGGGTCAAAGATACCCCCAGTTTAGTAAAGATCCCGAAAGATCAGACTCGTGGCGCAACTTATTCCATTCCCTGTCAAGGAAATAAGAGCTACATCGGGGAAATGAAACGAAAATTTTCCACCCGGCTCAGGGAACATCAAAAAGCGGTTGTAAACAAACACTCGCATAAGTCAGCTTTAGCGGAACATTGTTTACACTCTGGCCACATACACCATCTCCTAGGAATCTTCAAAGATTTTACGTACAAGCACAAATTGGCGCAGCAGACGTATTTTAGAAGCATGGGAAATTAACACTTGTAGGAATCCGCTGAACCGCGGTGATGGCATGCATTTGCCGCACGAATTCTTAAATTTAGCCCTAAGGGACAGGACATAATTAGCTCCGATTTGCTGATTTGCATAGTATAAGAACGTGCCTTCTTACAAATTCCTTGTCACTTTCCCATGATGAAGGCTGAAGTTTTAGCCGAAAAGTTGGGACTTTTACAAAATTTTTACTAACATTTTTACATTTTTTTAAACCAGAGTAACGTTTTTCAATCATGGACCCCAAATTAAATTCATCCATGAAAGTAGGTTTTGTTACCCGATTTTTTTAACTGTCAAAGTAAACACACTTTTATATGGGTTTCGTAGTCATAATGGTTTTTAGTTACAAACTGAAGATGTGTGTTACCATCTTGGGTAACTCGCTTCCAAATCTGACAGCCAAATCCTTAGAATTATGTGTTCAAAGCTGAGCAAGCACAATCACAATAGCTGCTAAGCTTTTTAAAGTACTCACATACGCATTTTGGCTTGGCTCGATTCCATTCTCCCGAATTAGTGCAAGTAAGATATCTTGAGCCCTCCATCTTGTAACCTGGGAAACAGTTGTATTCCGCTCTATCTCCTACTGCTACATAATCCTCATCGAGATTTCGACGGAATATCTGCTTATTTCCATTGGTAACACCTCCTGGATCCTGGCAGATGATTTCTATTAAAGAAAAATAACATACTTGGTTGTTAAACTGCCAGAGAAGCATAATTCGAACGATTCTGCAATGAAGGAACTGCGACTTAAAATTGGCTTTGGGTTTCTTCCTAGCTGAGTTTCGTCGATCGTAGCTGTCTTAGCCTTGCAACGTTTACCTCTTCATACCAGGCGAAGGCGAGATTTTTTTTCAATTACATATATAATATAAATCATGACCAGTGTAAGACAAAGTTAGAGCCAGAAGATCGATACTTACTGCAGGATGGTTCTGTTCCGTCCCACCTCCTTATTCCACGACAAGTCCGTTTCTTGGACCCAAGCAATGAGTAAGGTTTGTCGCATTGGTAACTGACAGTGGACCCAAACGTGGTGGAGGAATATTGTCGTCTGCCATTGTCTATTTCTGTTGGTTTTCCACAGTCTATGGCTATAATTTCAATAAAAATATAACTAAGTTTTGTTTGGAATGAACTAGGCACTTTTAAAAGCTAATTATAAGAATGTGTCTGTAGGGAAGTGGTTAGAAAACCAGACTGGTATTGGGTTGTGAGTTCGACCTCCGTCGGGAAGTCAGATTTTTTCTTCTACCCATCACCAAACTTAAAATTCACCATCGTTCATTATTTATCTGCACGCAGGACGTTGTGCAAGCTGCTGATCCCAGCACTTTGCAGGATGCTTGTAACATTTGAACCCAGTGGATTTATGTAGGTCGTAGTAGCTCCGTAGTTAGACCGTCCGATCAGCATCCGGGACGTCATAGGTGGGAATTATGACGGGAACTTTGTCTCTCTCCGGATCCCGTGCTCGCGAAAGGCTGAAAATTCCCCCTACACGCGCAACGCACGAATTCAGAAATACAAACCTTTCGGAAGACAGCTGTAACCACAGTCCCCATCACAAACGCATTCCTTGTCTTTACTACAACTGCCTGAATCTGGATTACATGACTTTCTGCAGTACCGGAAAGCTTGTTTATTAGTTCTCTTGCATGTGCAGCTTGGCTTTACTTTGTCCCAAACTCCGGTTCTTGTGCATGTTAAGGTGTTGCTCCCTTCCATTGTGAAACCTGGGAAGCAACTGTATTTTACCTTTTTTCCAGATTCGAAGCCATCGTGAGATTTTTTTCCGTGTTGGATGTTGCCTGGGTCTGTACAGATCAGCTCTAAAAGACAAAAAAAAAAAATACCCATTTTTTGGCAGCGGAAATTTTTACCTTTGTTTGATGTTTGAAAGAACCATTGAAAGAACGAAGGAATGAAATGAAAGTTTAAAATGTGAATGTAATTACTACTTTAACAAAAATTATACTAAACTGTAATAAATTTCGCACACTATATACTTACTGCAGGTTGGCTTTTCCCCATCCCATTGACCGTTTCCTCTGCAAGTTCTCTTCTTGGAGCCAAAAGCTATATATGGAGAGGTGCACCGATATCTTGCAACCGAGCCAAGCGTGTCGTTTTTGTAACGGACCCGCCCGTTGTCTATAGTTAGTCTTGGGCAATGTAGATCTGGAATAGTCGAAAACGACGTCCTTTTTTTCAATATCTCAATATACAATCGGTTTTAGTTATTACTGTAAAAATACTAGTAAAAGAATGCTTTTGGCCAGAAAACCAATACAGAACACGGGTCTGACGATAGCATCCTGCTACACAGTCCATATGCTCTACCACAGCTGATCAACCACACCTATAAAATCTACAACTGGTTGCAAGGTTAGATTTTTACTATTTTGTATGCCTTCACATAAACATGTTTAAACAACGCAAGCTGTATTAGGGGAAAGTAAATGAATTAACATTCATTGGTGAAGAGGAACGGACAATAGACGAAGGCCTATTTCACGAAACCCAATCATTAATTTAAGTCTAAGTGTTTGGGATACATAACTGACTTTATGTAGCTAAGGTATATTTTAATATGTAAATAGTGTCCCCAAATAGCCGTTTTAAGCTATATACCGTTGACACTGAAATAAAGTCGTTCATTCATTCATTCATTCAATTAAAGACACCTAATATAACCGTTTCGATAACGAAGACTTGTAAAACTGGAAGTTAAAACCAAAGGAAAGCAAGACGCTGTCTATAATTATTTTTACTATTCGTCTGAATGCGTAGGACTTTGGATAATAGAAATACATGAATGATCACTTCTTCACTTGTACATGTTCACTTGGACTTTTAAAATATTTGCAAAATCGCGAACAAATGCCAAAACATTGCATATCTATCTGGAAATTGAACACCTTTATGCCAAAAAGCCTAAAGGTCAAGGTTAGAAATCGAGCCCAAAAGTAAAGGCAGATATTCCAAGGGCGTTATGGTATACCTCACCCAATAAGCTATTGTGAACTTGCCTTATTATCAGTGTATGAATTTCAGGTCAGTCTCGGCAACCAGGTGGGATTTGTTAAATAAGTTTTTCAGGTCTAGTTGCAATATTTTTTCTCGATTTATAGTGTACCAAATTAGCACAGGAGTACTGAAAAGCATGACACGAAAAACAGTTTAGTTACATCTCTCTCCACTTTTTTTCTTTTTTTTTTTTTTAAGCAAATGTCATTACACGTTCCCGCAGTCTAAAAACGGTATAACACTACAGCTTGTACAATAGTAGTACTTCATTTATACCAGAAGGCAAAGGTGGCAATGTAGAAATCAAGTAGGTATGTTGAAAACAAAGCGCAAGAATGATAATTCCAAATGAACCTGTTTTCATTGGTCTTGCAACGTATCTGAACATAAAGAACCCCCGCTGGGACTTCCATGTAAAAAGGAGGGGTGCAGGTCGGAAATTTTGAAAGGAAGCCCTAAGAGGCACCAAAATCCTGTTTTGTAAGCGTGGCATTAAATCTTTTTCAACCCCCCGGGTTCAACTCTAAGAGGTACTAATTCAAAAGAACACATTATCTCCTATTATATGTTTCTCTTTTCGTCTCAATACTCTAAAAGGTACCCAAAAGCTCCATCTTTTGAGGATGAAGACCCTAAGAGGTTCCAAAACCGAGTTCATATATTTATTTTATATGGGAGTCCACCTCCCCCAGGGATGAGACCATATGGCGTGACACCAGTGTGAACGACACAGATCAAATTTTTAATAGAAGAGCCAGAAGCCGAGAGGTTTATCGCGATAAGGTAAAAAAAAAGAAAAAAACAAAAAAAAGAAGCTGTGAAAACCGTGGTGAGAGGATTTTGAGCGATTAAGTCAAAAGGCCAGAGTCATCAGAGTTTCAGTCTTACCAGACACGCTGAAAGGAAATGACGCCATACATGGCGCTAACGCAGCTGAAGCGAATATTTCTTCGTCCATAGACGCTGTTGAGCAGAATTGCGTTCATCCTTTCCATTTGGTGAATTCTAGAACAAGGCAGTCAGTGTTTTGACTGGTGTTTTGTAGACAGGTAACCATAACGGCATAACAAAAAGAGATGACTGTGCTAAATCTCAAATTGTGTAAAATCTGTTGCACACGTAGGAAGGAATTTCTTACCTCGTTTGACGCAACTGTAGCCGCAATCCCCATCACACACACAGTCTCTGTTACCTTTGCAGTCATCCTGAGCGGGATCACAGGGTTTCGAGCAAACTTTGGGCTGGCGATTTGTACGAGTGCAGTTCTGACATCGAATGCCTAACAACAAATGTCAATGCAGCAAGTTACATTACGAGGGCTCATGATTGCAACATAGTAATTTAAGCGTCCGATTATGTTAAACTTAAGATCATGAATTCGTAACCCAGTTACCTTGAACAGCGAAAAAGGCAAGAATAACCACTGCGTATTTCATTGTTTTAAAAACGCAACTCGTTACGACTGTGTGAAACTCACACAGGAAGTTTTATACCCGAGACGTCGTGGGTGCTACTGGCAAAGCATCAAGTTTCCCCCTGGCAATACGTCACATGATTGATGGCGTTCTTGTTGTTGTGAGACGGCGCTGAATCATTAATGTACTTGAGACGATGATCATCGTCTCTTGTTACTGTGCTATTTTGATGTATTAATTTTTTCTTCTGCATGCTTTTCATCTAAAAACGTGGGAGCTTTCGGTTTTACTTTGTCGGCTTAGCACTGAGTGAGAGAGAAAATGTTTACAACCGTGATCGCATAGAGCTTATTATTGGTCTTTAGCCACGCAGAGGATCCTGAGCAATCCAACCTTTCTAAGCTAAAGCTATTCACCAGTACCCAGTGAGTAAGCTCTCTAACAAGTCACGGGTGGAGGGTACAAAACTGTCTTTTTCCTCTCTCCCTATCTCTGTCAGACCATTTCACTACAGCTGGATGAAGGGAACAAGAGGGAGGGTGGGTCGTCGAGCGTTTGTGCATCAAGCGTGAGAATGTTCTTCAGCGTTCAAAAAAAACAAAAAAGGGAAAAAAATTGGACAAATGAGAAAAGTCGGACGGGAACGTGATGATCTTCACGCAGATCCAGTTGAACCTGATAAATTCTACACCTATTTTGACTATCAGGTGTCGTCTAAGTCAACTTGTTTGTCCACTGGGATATGATAACAAAAGCTTCCACATTCAATAAAGATCACTCAATGAACGCACAATAACACTTGATTATATATAGGTAATCATGTTATGTTGAAGCAATCCAATGATTTCGAATTTCATTTAAAATGCCTTTTTCAATTCCTTTAAATTATATGTTTTACTTTCTAACCGCTAAAGAACACCACAGCCCTGAAGATTTAACTGAAAATGAATTCTAATTAACTCCGACTACTCGCGATCATCTGGCTTGCCAAGGCTAGCCTCCATACTTCCGCTTAAGCTGAAAGGAAAGTTTCCCAATCTGGGCGTCAATAATTTTACTTCGACTGAAATGTGATTCGGAACATGGCGGCCATTAGCACGATACACATTGTTGTTCTTTCCTGTCTCCTTCTGTCGTCTGTAAGAGGTAAGAAGTACCAACTGAATTAATAGAAAAATTCTACTGTCATTCCGCGGTTGATAAATGAGTCATAACGACCTGAGGGCAGAAATATCAAGATATAACATTCCTTTGACTACTTGCTGAAGCAGACACCACTCCTTGGAAACTGAAAAACCCTAAATAATAAGTGGAAGACAAAACAGTTTGTAAGTGATTGTAAGCCACAGAAACAGTTGATCGTACAGAGACCTACAGGACACTAGAATGAACACGAACTTGGTTGTTGCCATCAAACGAAGGTCAATGCATGCGTCTCTCTGTGAAATATATAATTTGCAAGACTAATTTAGAGCAAAGTGAAAGGAAAAATAACGTTGGCATTGGCTAAACGGAACTCAATCAATGCCAGGCATAATATAATTTTCGACCTTTTTAAATTCTTATTGGCCTCGAATTTCATAGCACAGCAGTGTGGTTTGTGGCAGTTTTCCCGTGAGTCGATCGCGTTGTTTATATAAGCCCCGGTGAGGGTGAGGGCTGGGGAAAAAAGGAAGTACACTCTGTCAAGAGAGGGTGATNATCGAAAAGCCCTTACGAAGTTGGATAAGCCCAATGCTTATAAGCGGTAGTCTAAGTTAGTTTAATTGTGTAGCTAAGGTTTAATTTTGCGTATGTGTAGGGTAGGGTATGTTTCGTACATTCCAATAAATTGAGCCACGATAGACATAAACTAATTTGCCACAGTGTGTGCTACAGTATTTAACTCTAGTTCGGACACACCTATCCACTTACAATACAAAAATACACTGTTATTTCTCAAGGGTAAAAATACTTCATCTGCGTCCCCAGAAATGAATTGTGGTGCCTTCGAAATGTTTTCTCTATTAGTTTTCGCCGAATATGGCTATCACGGTCATATTTAAACCCTACCCCCGGGTGCAAATTATGCGATTGGAATAGTCCGCCATATTGGAATTGCCGACAATTTACGAAAATAGTCCAGTTTCGAGTCCACCATGATCGCTGAATAAAAGCACTTGGAACGTATTTGCACAGGGTTAGCCTCGACCTAAAAAATATTCACAAATACCGGTGGGAACAGTGCCACAAATTTGAAAATTAAACAATACACAGAGCTGTAAACAGGTCATCTTCTCGCTGGAATTTGTGAATATTTAACTTTAGATCGAAGCTAATCCTGTACAAATGCGTTCTCAGTGCTTTTAATTAGCGGTCATGGCGAACTCGAAACTGGACTATTGCTTGACTCGGAAACTCGCTCCCAGGACTTCTCCGTTGCCCTTCTGGGCCGTGCCTACCCCTCATTACTCCCGTTCTAAACAGAAAATTACCTGAAACTCTTACACAATAACTGGCGCCAAGTAAATGTAGAAACACAGCAGGAAATAGAACATTCCTTTTAGCCCTTCCAGAGACAATAAAAGCAAAATTAATGTAATTAGTAAAACAAAAGGTAAAGAAACAATGTAAAATTTATTGACGTTTTTAGGGTATATTTCTTACATAGTTATACTGATTCGTGGTCCCATATCACGCCTTGCAGGGGATGTTTGCGGAGACCCGCCAAAAATTAACAACGGTAAAGTACAGACTGAGTCGAAAACGGGCAACGTCACGGCTTTTTACACCTGTGACGAACGGTTTGCCAAAGTTGGTGAAGAAAAAATTGCTTGTCTTTCATCTGGTAAATGGAAGAAAGCCACGATCAAATGTGGTAGGTAGCAACACAGCTTGTGGCGTATTTCAAGTGGTAAACAATACTTTTTTTTTTTCCACAACGTTGTTCAAATACTTCATTGAGGTGAACAGCGGCCTTTGGTCCTTTTTGTGAGCCAATAGTGTTTTCATGGCTCCTTATATATTAGCCTTACCTTATAGGGAACTTGCCGCCTGCCTATCTGTCACAGGGATGGAGAGATACATCGTTTGGACATATTGACATATGTTCTATTACTTCGTAAGGATTTTTTTTATTATCATTTCACTTAGTTGCAGTCTGTCCTTTACCACCCATTCCACCACATGCGTTCATTAAAAGGCCAAGATCACAATATCTCGAGGGAGACTGGGTATTCTACGCCTGTAGACCAGGATATCGACCTCTGGATGGATTGGGCTTTAATCGGTGCTTACGAGGAACGTGGAAGAAAGTGACATTCAAGTGTGTTGGTAAGCGTGTGCACTAAATATGTCCACTTGAGAGTACCCAGAATTTTATCTCCCTGGCAGTAGTACACCATCTAGGCAACCCAGCAGTGGTTTAAGTTAGCAAGTAATCCTATATAATTCTCATTCTTAAATCTTAAACCTATAGTAAACAAGCAAACTCAAGCCCCTCTCCGTGTTTTGACAGGGATGGGGGTTGATTGAGATGGCTTCGGGTTTTCGTTGACATTAAAACTGTCCACGTAATGAGCTGCTTTTGTTGATCATGAAGAGACGTCCGCTATCTTGGATCCGCCATCTTGAATTCGACCATTTTTGATTTCACCATTTTTTCACAAGTCAGAAAATAAGTAAACGAAATTGGTGGGAAATTGATCCAAAATTATAATAGAATTTAAATAGGTACTTATTTTGCAATGCTACTCAAGCGGATAATCCTCGTTCTAAAGTTCTGATAAAAAACCTTTAGAGGGTTGAACTGGCATCCATCTCCACCCCTTTTGTACACCCAAAGGTTAATCGAAACATGCTACACTGTTATCTTCTTCCATAACATTTAATACTCCCTCCTTAACTTCATTCGTTTCCTTTCTTTCTTGTCTAAATATTCCAAGGATATCGCAGTTTTCTAAAAAGAATTAACCATAACTTTTAAGGAGACTTGATTCCCCTGCACCTAACAGCTCAATTGTAAGGACTGGCTTTTAAATGTTTTGAGTCACCCGAACTAGCTGATATCTCTTTCTAGTGTCCAAGGAATGCAAGAAGCCAGAGGATCCCAAAAATGGTGAAACATTCGGTAGTGATTTCTCTGTTGGCAAAAGAGTGAGGTATACCTGTGATACTGGCTTTGTTCTTCAAGGAGCTTCAGAAATCAAATGTTTGAATAATCGAACGTGGAGTGGTGGAGTGCCATCTTGCAAAGGTAAACACAAGATCCACGACTCTGCACAGACGTGCACACACACACACTTTACTTCTCCAATTCATTAATAATTCACCACATTTCCAAACACCTCGAGGTTAGCCAAAAATATTTTCCTACGTGTCGTATTTTCAAATCTATTCTCGGTTTTTGTAAATGTGGTAAAACTTGGTCTTTCTTGTTTGATATATTACATATAGGGAGCTTTCAGCAGCATGTTTGCAAATAAATGCCAAAACTCCTTCGAGGATTTTTTCTGCTCTACTCCTTTATTTCGAATGCTAATGGAAAGATCGTGATGGTTGGTCAATTTCTCCCCGCCCCGATTCTCCCGTCGATTTGCTAGAAATGAAGGCTTAGGGATCACGCTTTGTTTCAAAGAAGCGATGAATGATAGCTAAGTTTAAATGATATCATTATTCTCTACGCAAGTGGTAGTTATTCCCTTTGTTAGTTGTTGACTGTGGAAGCCTACCAGATCCTGTCCATGGAAGGAAAATCAAGGAAACGAAAACTACGTTTGGAGGCAGAGCTGATTTCATTTGTAAGAAGAGAGGGTATTCTTTGATCGGGAAGAAGAGCCGATTATGTCAAGCTAGCGGTGCATGGAGCGGCAAGCCAGTGGTTTGTAAAGGTGTATAATTAAAGCTAATTAACACGTTTCTTTGGTAAGGGCAAAGTTAGTTCCCTCTGGTAGCTATGGTTAGGGTGGTTGTGATTATGTTCAATACAAATTATGTTAAGAACGAGTAGTGCACGAAGAATCTCTGATAATTTCCGGTGTTAGTCAGTTTGTTTAGTCAACTGTTTGTTGATAATTTTCCGCCGATTTTTCTTTCTTTCTTTTTTTTTT